GTGTCATCTCCTTGAAACCCCAGGAGGTAGTAGCTATTATGATTGTTCCCGTTTTATAGATAGGGAAACTGAGGCTCAGAAAGGTTAAATGAGTTGCCAACAGTTACTCCCACTAAATGTGGTAGAACTCAGGGGTGGGGGGACATGTGCCTCTGATTCCAGAATCAAGATGTTATAGACCACACTGAAAATCACATACATCGAATGAAAGGAAGCCACTGCTGTTTGCTCTCAGTGGTTTCTCTGCCTCTGCCATTCTTGTTATCAACAGGAACTGAGCTGAGTAGCTTTATGGGCTCCCTGCCCTTTTCCTGTCTTCTGCCCTGGCAGTGGCAATCCAGATCACTTGTCGTCCTGGAGGAGTGGCGATTGGCAGGGGCCCTCATGGTAGGACAGCCGTAAGTGGTCCTCAATGTGTCTGTTGGTGTACTCTGACCTGGCACATCATGCTTTTTAGATAACATAAGCATCATGTTTGGGGCTTGCACAACTCACCCATTTGGCTTTAAACAACGACCTTACATTTGATTGATGTCTTCCTGGTCACCTTGACTTAAACAAGGAAGCCTTTTTAAATGCTTAATGAAGTAAAATAATTCTCTCCCCTGGCTGGGAAAAAATATCCTTCCTTACCCTCTCCACTCCAGCTCTCCTGCTGGACACTCTAACAGTTTCTTTTCCTTTCTCCCCATCATCATCAAATGCCCCCCCTACCCCACTTCTCCTTTTCTGTTGTCCTGCCACATCTGACTGTCATTGCAGGTTCCATTCCATCCCACCTCCTCCAGGAGACTCCGTGGACAGTCCCCATCGCTATCTAACTCTGTCTAACCACCACTAACACATCCCTGGAAATCTAGTCCTTGACAGATCCTCCGATTATTTCCCATGGCGATACACAGATAGCCCTGTTTCTCATGGCTTTCCTTCTCTTCCCTTCACCTTAGCTTATCTGATTGTGTTTCAGCTTATCTCTACTCTTCTTAAAGTGTGAGGTGTGGAAATGAATGAAATAATTGAGGAAGCCTCCCCCCACCCTTAGTCCTGGGGAAAATAGAACTGATGGCAATCATCCCTCAGTATCAGCACAGAATTAGTTCCAGGACCTCCCAGGGTCCCTTAGATAAAAAGGCAGACTGGGGCATCTGGCATCCTCCCTTATACCTTAAACCATCTCTAAATTACTTATCATACCTACTTCCATGTGAATGCTGTATAAAAACGTTATTGTACTGTCTTGCTTAGGGAGTAACGACGAGGGGGAAAAGTCTGTATGTGTTTAGTACAGATACAATTAGTTTTTCTGAATATTTTCAATCTGCAGTTGATTTTAAGCCTCAGATGCAGGATCTGTGGATATGGAGAGCCAACTTCACAGATTCCTTTATTCCAGTTACTCTACCGCAAGACTTTGGCACATCATTCTAGTGCCTCAATCTGTGGTCACCAACAGACAGATGTCAGAGTGGAAGGGTGTCAGTGACCACATGATTGTTAGCAACTTATTTAACCATGTGGATATACTGGGGGCAACCACAGGGCTTCCACAATTCTTTCAACTCTTTCCTGACACAGTGAAAATAAAATTCATCCTGATCTCCCTTCCCAGAATCTCCTGACTTCCTCACCATCAAATGTTACATTCAGTCCTTCAAATCTCAAAAATTCCTGTACTACAAGATTTTGTGGAACTATAGGGGTGTCCTCAGTACATGATGTGTGCAGATGTTGGTCATTCTCTATGTGACTCCTGCCCTCCCTGACCCTCAACCAACAGAGTAGGTTGACAGTGTTCCCTAAACAACAGATGGCCCCACCTGATGGCTGGCAGGGAGGGTAATTGATTTTGCCACCCCCTCTGCAGGGTGTCTCTGAGAGTCCAAAGGCTGGAACTTCAGTCTTAGTTCAGTCTCTTAATAGCTGAGTGGAATGAGCCATGCAATGACTTTATCTGAAAAACAGAGATGAGAAAATGTGCCCCTGCTCTGACTTCTTGAACCATTAGGAGGGCCTTACTGAGACCACCTGCTTTTCTTTCCTTTTTCTTTTTATTTCCCCTGTTACTGGGGGTTGAATCCAGGGCCACTCTACCACTGAGCTACATCCTCAGACCTTCTAATTTTTTTTTTTTTTTTTTGAGACAAGATCCCGTTAAGTTGCTGAGAGTCTTGCAAAGTTGCTGAGGCTGGCCTCCACTTGCCATCTTCCTGCCTCAGCCTCACAAGTCCCTGGAATTACAGGTGTACACCACCACACCCAGCAAGACCTGCTATCTTTACCACTTGCTTTCTCTCCACCTGAAAGTGAGGTCATCAGAAGAGAAGAGGAGGAACGATTCTCTCTTTCCCTTTCTTTGAACACTCCTACCCACTTATTAGAATATGGGACAACTTTGCAATTTGGTTTATTCCCCCTAATTTGTATGCACTCTGCATGGAGTTGGGTGTGAGTCTTTGTCACATGAAGCATCAACCACACAGAGAAACCCCATTCCATTTAGAGTACAGGAAGTAGGAGGGAGATATAAGAAAATGCAGATCTCAGAGAGAGGCTCCTCTTGTACAGAGAAGACTGGCTTTCCTCAGGGGCTAACAAGGTCATGTGCAGGATTCTGTGACTGTGAATAGTGTTGGCTCAGGGTATATAAGTATATCTCCATGAAAGTCCCTAATTTCTGGGTTGGGAAACACTTAACACCTCCCCACTGACTCCCCTGCCTATTTGGTCCTCAATAATAAGTGTGATCCTTTTTAACAGGGACAAAACCTTTACTTCCACAAATAAATTGGGCCTTAAATTCGAATGAAAGCATAATTTGCCAAGAAATGTATGGATTGAGCTGACAGTGGACAGATACTCCTGGAAGAACTGGAATGACCTTCCTTAGGAGATCTCAGGCAAAACATCTCCTTGAGAAAGGAAAAATAACATGTAGAGTCATTCATATTGCATGAAAAGGACATACAGAGGCTATTGGCAGAGTCTAAATTTTGCTAAGAGGAAGATGTAGAGGACCAGAGGAGTAAAGGGGAAGAAAGGATCTCCCTGATCTCAAAGAAAAAGTGGCATTTGTTGAATACCCAGTGAAACCTCCCTGCTAGAATATAAACAGGTTCCTGACCCAATTAAGGAAAAATGTGAACATTGATTTCAGATCTTAGGTAAAGAGAAGTTTCCTACTATTTCTCTGGACTCTTGTTATTTCAATCTTTTCTAGTTAAATAAAGTGCAAGCATACGTTTAAAAGTTTCCATCAATACAATGGAATACTGTGTGGCTATTTCTTAAAAGTATGAGGAAGATCTCTATGTTCTCACATAGAAAGATCTCCAAGAAACACTGTAGAGTGTGGAAGGGGGAGGAAGTTTCAGAACATCTTTTTTTGATTGTAGTGCTGGGGATTGACCCCAGCTCCTCATACATGCCAGGCAAGCACTCCACCACTGGGCTACCTCCCCAGTCCAGAAATGGAATATTTTACCCAGTCCCGCCTGCATGAAATATTTTTAAAATGTGTGGGTATACACCTTGTCGTATGCATCCAGTTAAATAGAGAAGAGAGAACCAATTATGAATAGAAGGCAGATAGTACACATTAGGCATTTTTGTCTGGGTTAAGTTTTATGATGGACATTATTACTTTGATAATGGTAGCACAGCAGTGATGACTTTTTAAAAACAACTCATGGAGCAGAAACACTGGTGTGCAAGCCCCCTCAGGTTAGTATGCTACCCATGGGGACAGTGAGTGGAGTTTCCACTTGCCCTGTCCTTGCCTGGCCTCTTTCCTGATTTGACACTGGATTTCCACACCAGGGTCCATGACAGATGCCAGCAGTGGCAGCGATGACAAGCCCAAAGCCACATTTGTTCCATTACTTCCAGCTTCTCGTTGCCTTTCCAATCACTGCAGTGAGAGCTCCCTTCTCTTATCTCCCCCGAGCAAGAGTCAAAAGTTCTTGTGAGTGTGATTATAGGAGGCTGGAAAACTTCCTGATAATACCTAAATTCCTTTCGAAGAGCAGTGCTTGGAATCGGGTCAGGAGAGCTATGTGGTTTCAGCACACTGTGTACTGTGCAGTTGGATAATAAACCAGAGGAAAGTTGGCCATGCCAAATGGAAGGGACATTAGAAGGATGTCATTATGGGCCCATCTGGTCTGATAACCTACCTCCCACGACAACTTATCTGCTGCCCTAGAAAGACCATGCGGGGAACTGAGGAAGAGTGTCTGCATGTGGGATCGCCAAAATAGATACAAAGAAATGAGGCATAAAAGGAAAATTTGAATAATAAAGAAAAATAAGAATCAGAACTGAAGTTTCTGAGACATATTTATGGCTCTTATAAACAATTTTGCTTTGGTCGAATGGCTCTTTGGGACACTCCAGTGACATTAGCTAATTCTGACATTTGGGAATTTAAACTTAGTAGTGAGCCTAGCTTATCCTTATTAGCAAAGTTTGCTAAACATTTTGTGCTGCGTGCCCTGTTTTTATATTTGAAGATGATGCACATGGCATGCTGTCATCTCAATTCCTGCTGTCACTGTGAAACCTATGACAGGTCATTCTCCTACCACCTTCCCTTTTGGTCTTGATGCATACACTCTTCCCCCTTTGCTTCCCTGTATCTTCCCTGATTCAGCTCCAAAAAGATGTTAGCCATCTCGGTGGTTGGACGGAGATTTTTCTATTTCCCATAGGAAATGTGAAGAAATGCATAAAATTGGAAATAAAATTTAACAACGGATGATAAGCCTTTAATCCATCACTCGTTCTTGCCTGCCAAACAGATCACTTTTATGAACACAAGTCCTCACTTAGGAAACCTAATAATCTAAAAATACATCTTCACTCTTGCCAGAACTTTAAATAAATCCAGGGAGAGGTGTGTGTGTGTGTGTGCTTCTTGTAGGGATGACACATAGAAGCATTTCCACAACAGCCCTCGGATGCTCCTAAGCCTCTGACTCAGATCTTGGGTTTCCCTCCCTCAGGAAACCAGGTGAGTTTCTCCAAATCAGCAGACGCCTTTGCCTTTGAAGAGGACAGCAGCGGCGATGGGCTCTCTCCAGATCAGACTCGAAGCGAAGACCCCCAGAGCTCAGCAGGATCCCCACCAGATGCTAAAGCTACAGAAGCCCCTTTGGCTGGCCCTCTGGGAACAATTCAGGTAAAAATAAAAATGATCTCCATTTCATCATGTCTTCATAGTCTTAAAATCCACTGTGCTTGCTTCTGATTTTGCTTAGAGACTCTGGAGCTCTTCCTCGATCATGTGACACGTTGCTGTCTTCTCACTCTCTTCAGCCCAGGTATCTGTGTGTCGTGACAAAAGGTCCCCCCCAAAAAAAACACTGGAGAGACTCTGTAGAACTATACCCTCTGGAAGACTTCTGAGCATCATCTACTTTGTTGAGTAGATAGATACCTTTTATCTCCATTTTTATGGACATCATAACTGAGGCTTCAGTGAGGTTAAGTGATTGGCAGACACTCTCCTGGTGCCAGAACAAGACTGATTTCAAAGTTTGCAGTCTTCTCTTACAGTCATTATAGGGCTAATGAGAAGGGTGAGAAGAAAGTGCCAACTGTTCACAAAACAGGGAGGTCCCTGCTGCTTCTATGTGAACAGGTATCTAACCACCAGCCACCTCAAAGTCAGTCTTCAGTCCCGACCCAAGCACAGTCCTCACATCTCTCTCTGGATACATCTACAGATCCTCAGAGTAAAGGATGTATTTTGAAAACACTCATTATAAATGTTCATCATTCAAACAGTGAGACGGGAGGGTATAGCCGCCAAAGGGTACCATGTCACAAATATGTAAGATGAACAACTTCAGAAGTCTAATGTATATCATGAGGATTACAATTTATAAAATTGTAAAGAAAAAAAATAATTCCTTATTCATTATCAATGTGAAAGCCCATTTCTCATGATGAGTATAAATAGCAGCCTGAAGCATACTCTGGGCCAGAAACAGCGCTGTGCTCTGTACAAAAGTTATCTCATTTGAGATCCCAGTTCCCTCCCACTGGGTGACATCTATGCCAATTCTCACAGAGGAGGAGCTAAGTCTCCCTGAGATTGAGAAATCACGTGGTCTCCAGAATCACCGCCAAGTGCCACCACCCCTTGGAGAATCCACCTCTAGAAGCCACATGCAGGCTTGCAGAGAGTTTTCCTCAGCCCAGCAGGAAGGTATTCATGGAGCTCCTAAAAGGAGACCTGTGGGGATTCCACACATCCTCATGAAGGAGAAATACTAGTGTGGACACAAGGTGCAGAAGTGCTTCCGGCCCCACATGCCAACTCTAACAATTCTGTTTATAAAGTTTCATGGTATGGAATTTTCCACTTATAGCATCATCTTGGCTTTTTCAGATTTTGAAATTTTATATTACAACTATTCAACCTGCATTTGAAATATTTTTTCCCACTGCAAAGTACCATATACAGATATCAGTGACAGTATTAATAATCAATATCCAGGGCTCTGTTTACCTAAACCTCCTTGGTCACTGGTGACTATCATTCCATCAGAGCAAACGCAAAGCAGCCAAGAAGCAAATTTAGAGTGAGAGGGGGAAAAGGAGACATAAGAAGCAGATCTGAAATATTTGTGCATTTCTTGTGTAAGAGTTTATAATCAAAGCATTTTTTTCTTCCCCTGCTGGTCTTTGCAGCCAGACTTCTTTGATAACATCAAACGGTATATCAGACCATTTGTATGTATTACTCTGACAGTAAATTCCTCAGCCTCTGATTTAAGAATGGTTTGAGGAGAAGGCGTGTTTTTTTTCTGCTTAATGCTAGGAGAGGGGAACAAGACCTGGACAATGCCCGGAAAAATGCAAAAATCATTTTATATCATTTTTCTCAGAAGCCATGTTTGACAGATGAGGACACGGAGGCACTGAGAGAAAAGAATTTCATGGGCCTAGGATAGGTACCAGGGCTCAGAGAAGAACTGAGAAGCTCATTTCTGACCCTCCAGTGGGAGATTACCAGCAGCCCCTGCCCCTGTGTGTCAGAGTCACAGCATAGGAATGTGGGAGAGAAAGAGAAGATAATTATTCCTTTTTTGGAATCCTCAGCAGACAGAAATATGCTTCTCGTAAAGGTTTGCATGATCATACACACACACACACACAGATAACACACACATCTGCATGTATATACTTAGAGACACACATTCAAATACACACATATACATATATAATATACAGAGACATACATGTATATATACATACATATACCTGATACATCTATACATGCACATACCTGTGTTTATGCACACACATATACACACATAAACATGCCCAGACATGTACTTACACTTACTCATACACACAGACACATATAAATGAGCATGTGCATATACACACTTATGCTTATATCCACACATACATATATATACAAAAATTCATGTGTGTACATGTATATGCATGTACGTATATACCTGACACACACAAATATAAATGCATACATTCATCCATACACATACATACACACTCAGACACACCTACACATGCTCATAAATGTATGTACATGCACATATACATGTGCAGACATGCATTCATGCTTGCTTACACAAACACAAACCTGTATGTGCTCACACCCCCCTACACACACCCCACACACACACACACACATTTTCCCTCCAACTGCTAACACCCACTCTCTCCACTTTGTTGTTCTACGTTTCCCCCCAAATTCCTACACCTACTCTGCTCTCTTCATTTCTTTTTCAACCTCATTATTAAGTCCGACAGGTAGACATTGTCACAGAAAGGCCAGTCCCATATCTGTACCTATAGAAAGGCCAGTCCTATACCTGCCTTTTGTGGTCATTATTAAAGATGCCCCTTTTCTCTCTCAAAAGCACCCTCCATCAGGGAACAAAATTGGTGTCATCCTCCTGGAGGGAGTAACCTGACGTTTACTTGAATGAGAACCTGGGATGAAAGCAGCAGTGTGACCTGTCAGGGACTCGACCGTAACCCAACATTTATTCCTATGTCCTAATCATGCTAAAATTTTGATTTCAGGATCTTGCTTCTGGCTCAGAAAATGACAAGAATGATTCCGCCTCACAGTCCAGCAATCAGCCAGATGCTGGGAAGCAGGGTCTTGGCCCCCTCAGTGCCCCCATCCCTGTGCATGCTGCTGTAAAGGTAGGTACGGGGCAGCCCCTACTTCTCTGCCTGAGCCCCAGGTGCCCACAGCCAGCCCTGAGAAGAGCTTTCTAATTCAGGTCTGATGACATAAGGAGAATAAGATGGCCCCATGTGGTCCCGGCCACTAGAAATGTCACAAATGGGGAGCTGAGAAACAGGCCACCAGAGCCCATGAACCCAGATGTTATTATCCGTGCAGCACAGCATGGACTTTCTCTGCAGCGGGGGAATCAGTGCGGTGGCATTTCTTGGGGACCATAGCTCTGCTAATATATGTCTGACTTAAAAGATTTCATGAACTCACCCTGGAGATAGACCTGGCTGATTAAAACACATGGGGTTTGCAAGTTCCCTAAAACAGGCTTAGGGCAGTTGAATTTTGCACGAGACTTTGCATAATGTAAGAGCTATATCATTCAATTCCCTAAGGAAATAAACATAAGGGACAAGGGGTCCCGTTCACAGTAGTCAAATATCTGTAGTCATTTGATATATTTTTCATATTTTATTTTCTCAGCATTATAGCTAATAGTTCACAGAGTGCTCTCTCCTTAGCTGCCTGGTAGTCATTGGTTTTCTTTTTTTTTTTTCTTTTTTATTTTTTTAATGGTGCTCACGCCTCTGCACGTTAGGCAAGCACTCTATCACTGAGTTACAACCAGTTAGTCCCTTCATAATATTTTATACCCAATAACTTTTACTTGATTTGGGAGCATGTTTTCTCAGTCCTAGTGCCACCGCCTAATGAATGCTGAAATGACTCTTTGGGGATTGAGAAGAAAAAGTGTGGGAGGTTATAAATTGAGGCACAAGTCAATGATAAAGTAACAGATTAATGCTCTCACAGGATGGTAGGCATTTTAATTTCCTAGAAAAGCTCCCCCACCAAACCACAATAGCATAAACCCAGTTTACAAGTCACTCAGCTCAACAGCCTTGACATTATGTGAAAACTGATGAATTCTATGCCTTGCAGAGGAAGGAGAGGGAGATGATTCACATGATTTCTAATGCTATAGATAAAGAGACATTGTATTAATGTCTCCATCAGCATATTTAAATTTTGCATAATTTAAATTAGCAAAGACATCAACCTCACTGTACCAAGAAATTATGATAGGATCCCAAAAGAAAGACAGATCTTCCAGTGAAGTATGGTATTAATTCTAATACCCAGCTGGTTCAGGAGGGAAAGTTACTTATATATGAGTCACCATCCCTTCCAGTTGATCAATGCCTATGCATCCCAGTTGTTAAAGATTTATCCCTGTTAGGTTAAGATTGGAAAACAGGTGTTCAAACAAAAACTTGTACATGAATATTAATATTAGGCACCATTTACAACAGTAACAAGTTGGAACCAACCCAAATTTCCATCAGTTGATGAATGAATACATAAAATATGGTCTATCCATAAGACTGTCTATTACACACCCTTGAAAAGGAAAAATATAATGATACCTGCTGCAAAATGAATGATCCTTGGAAAAATATTATGCCAGTACAGGAAGAAGCCATTTATATGATTCCACTTACATTAAATACTCAGAATAATCAGATCTCTCAAGATCTAAGCACATTCATGGTTGTTGGGGAATAAGGGAAGAAAGAATGAGGGATGATTGTTTTATGGGTAATGGAACTAGATAGATGTGATGGTTGCATAATATTCTGAATGTATTAAAGTGGTTATGATGGTGGTGTGTTTGTTTCCTTTATATTGAAAATAAAAAAGGTTCTCCTTCCCCAAGCAGCCACGGGTGGCTCCCTCAAGGCCAGTGGTCTAGGAAGGAGACTGAGGGTTGGATTTCAGTCTGCCTCACCCCCTTGGCAGGAAATACCCCTATGTGACCATCCTCACGCAACCTCGAAATGCCACATGAGGAGTGCAGACAGGGCACCTCACTGCAAGTTAGGAAAGGCTTCCTAAGTGATCCAGGGCTTGAGCCAGCCTGAAAGGATGAGCTAGAGTGTCAGATGGCAAGGCTGTTTCAGATGGCAGAAAATTGCAAGAAAAGGAAGCCTGTCAGGTGTTAGAGAGGAGAGACTTAGGCAGCTTGGTGAAATTTCCCTTGGCAGATTACTGAGTTTGGGCTTCACCTTGCAGAGCAAGATCAGCACATTGCGGGCTTCTGGGGTGGTATGTTATTTGGCAAAGCCCAGGTGTGTGTGTGTGTGTGTGTGTGTGTGTGTGTGTGTTTGAATCGGTACGGTTTTAGAACGTCATGCACTTTCTAGCCAAAGCCACACCGCTACCTCTCATGTATACACTAATCCAGTTCACACATCTATGCCTGGGTCTTTAAGCACTGAAGTGGATCCACTTCTGATCCATTTTTAGAAAGATTAATGTGTTCTCCTTCTGTGTAGCTGTAAAGAGAAAAACAAACAGATACAACTTTAATATCCCCAAAGCTCAAAAAAGGAGAATGAAACTATGCATTTCCATAAGTTCAGTCATCTTTGCCCCCACGCTATTCAGAAAAAAAAAATGATCATTTCAAAATCTTCTGGAATGTTCACAGTCCCCGTGCTTAGACAACGCAGAGGAAGAAAAAAAATCAAAAAAACAAAAACAAACTAAAAAAATCCTCCTTGACCCCCTAATTTAGCTTCAAGACCCAGGGCTGCTACTCCCATCCTCCCCAAGGCAAGCTCTGGGAGATGATGGGACCGGCAGCTGATTTGGAGCAAGACAGGGCAGAACTGATTGCAGGAACCCCTGTAGAAACTCTCCAGCACAGCAGACTGATTAATTCATTGGAACACTAATAGATTAATGAGCATGAAGAAATAAGCCACCATGCACACAAAAATACTTGCGCTTGTTATTCATTAGTCTCGGGGAAGAACACTCTTTGAGAAAACAAAAGAGCCTTTGGTGGTAGGATGAGCTGAGTCAGAGAAAAGCAAATTGTAGGCCCCTTGGATAAGGTCACATTCAGATGTGTATTTTGTGGTTGAAATGGGGAGGCTGCCAAGTCCAAATATACCTGCCAGCTATTCAGGAGCCCCCTCTACTGGACACTGATGGTACCACACTTTCCCTCTGGTTTTTCTCCACATCTTTAAAAATCTTTGGTCATGATATATCCAAGTTCTCCATTTCAACCTCCTATAGTAAAGTCAGGAAGTGAAAATTTATTTTTAACTGATAACAATATGAATCTACTGCTTCCTAATATATGAGGCCTTTTGATTTTAGAAGCCGACTATGAATAGAATTACCCTGTTCATTGAGCATCTCTTATCACTTCAACATTATCGGTTATAGTCTTTATATTGATCACTGAGATAGAAGATAGGAGAATACTTTCCCCAACTTGCAGGTAATGGAACTGAGATGTAGTCAACTTAAGTATTGGTACCATGTTCAAAAATTTCACTGCCAAGGCTGTACCCTAATCTTCCTTTACTGTGTCCAAGTCATGCTCTACAATGGGTCACTTCTGGGAAGGGTTCCAGTGGGTGGCTCACCCTTCCCATAATAAATAAAGAGTCATTATTTCAGAGGTGCCATTTCCTGATCATATATCAGCATTTGAGCAGGGTGAGGGTGGAGGGTAAACGGGCAGTTCTGTTTTACTCTGGGCTCAGAGCAGCAGAGAACCACATACTGGATTTACAAAAGCCACCTTAACTTCCTCTAAGTTTATGTCATTAATAAGTCAATTTATTACCTGCTTGATGAAAGGCAATTGTGTGCATACAGATGAAAGAACTGCTTTAGAAGTAAGCCCAGCATTGGAATGTCAGGTTATCCGTTGATTTTAGGACAGGAAGAATGTACTCGTTGAAACCCAGCCTGACCTCCTACCCTACTCCAGGGAGGAAAAAACTCCTGAAGCCACTTTTAAGGTTTAAGGTTCCCAGTCTTAAGGAGTGATACTTCAGGAGGTTGTATTTGCAGCAGATTGGTTCCTCCAAATCATTGATGTTGTAGGAATTCTTTGTGCATCGTGCATGTGCTATGTTGTATTTTCCAGGATTTGATAATATCCATTAGGTTAAAACCCCCTCACAACCAAGTCGTTCTTTTTCGTCACCTAAAGCACATGCCATTTCCTCATACCCTTTGCAGTCCAAGTCCTTGGGTGACAGTAAGAATCGCCACAAAAAGCCCAAGGACCCCAAGCCCAAGGTGAAGAAGCTTAAATATCACCAGTACATTCCCCCTGACCAGAAGGCAGAGAAGTCCCCACCGCCCATGGACTCAGCCTATGCTCGGCTACTCCAGCAACAACAGCTGTTCCTGCAGCTCCAGATTCTCAGCCAGCAGCAGCAGCAGCAGCAGCAGCAACAACAACAACAACACCGATTCAACTACCCTGGGATGCACCAAGCACAACTCAAGTAAGTCAGGCAAGCTGGGAATGGAGGCTGGGGACAGAAGTAGGGAATGGCTTCTCTCTGTCTGAGGCACATGGGGCCAGCCCAAATGTCCTTGTCTGGTATGTTTAAATATTCATCCAGATATATATGTTTTTTTCTAATAAGAATCTATTTTTTCTGATACATTTGAAATATGACTGTATTTAGACACCATGCACAACTTTCAGGATCCTATGGCTGGGATAAAACAAGCAAATCAATGTTCATTGGAGAAAAAGGAAGCTATGGGCATTTCCAAAGTGAATTGTGAAACAGCTAAGAATGTAGAGTTGGCATCGCTCACAATTTCAATGCCCTTCTACTTTCACTCTGGGAAGCAACAGAGCTGAATCGCTCAGTGAGAGTCTCAAAGACTGACTCCTGAGCCCACGGGCTTTGTGATCACATGACTAGGTCACTTATGAAGTTGGAATGTGTGTTCTCTCACCTGTTTCTGGTCACTCTCAGGTCACACTGGCAATTCTACGAAATGCTGCGTGCTCAGGACTCCCCAGAAGAGTGCATCAACTACGTCATGGATGGACATGCACTCTTCCATATGCTGAAGTCTCCACCCCTCCCTCCTGTCTCCCCAAAATCAAGCTTGAGGGTCTTTTGCCCACTTGCCATCTAGCCTGTGCTGCTGTTTGTCTTCGGCTGGTTTATTACATGCCTGATCCGTGCGACCTATTACTGTGTGATTGAAATACACGTTACCCATATATATTTGATTGTATTTTAAGTGCCTCTTTGTATCTTTTTTAGAGAACCCAACGAACAGATGGTCCGAAATCCAAACTCCTCTTCAGCACCACTGAGCAATACCCCTCTGTCGCCCGTCAAAAACAGTTTTTCTGGACAAACTGGTGTCTCTTCTTTCAAGCCAGGCCCACTCCCACCTAACCTGGACGATCTAAAGGTATAGGATTGGACATGATTTCCTTCTATTTCTCCCTTCCTTACTTCCTTTATTTTCCCCCCTCTTCCTTTCTTTCCATTTATTTAACAAACACAGCAATATATCATTCATATCATCTTTGCCAATGGATTTCTGGGGTAAGAGAACATAAAGTGGAGAGTACATGGAAGAGGCTCTAGGGAATGACAGGATGTCCACCCGGGTGGTCAGACACCCCCACAAAGCACAGAGCTCTAGGCCCCCAGCTCAGCTGTCCAGGCTGCACAACCTGAGCTGGTCTTCACATGTTTCAGCATCTTAGATTCCTCATTTGCATAAATGAGTTATTATAAATGGGCTCATATATATGATAGAGTTTAGCCCAGTGTCATTGTGGGATTTATATGAAGCATATTCAGAATGCTCTAAACTGTGGCCAATTCCATGATGAACTTTTAAAAAAAAAAAAATCTCTGATGAAATGAGAAAAATAAGAACCAAGTAAACATCTGGGTACCTACTACATATCTGAGTAATATTCATCCAAAGTATATATTTTCTCATAATATTTTGAAATTGGAAAACAATGCTACTAGTGGACAGAAGTTGAGGGTTGTGGGTGGGGTTGTACATGTGCTTTTTTATTAAATGAGGATACCATGAAATAAGAACTTTGGTCCTTACTGAGTAAGATGGAATGTTGGTAATCTAATGTCAGTAATATAATTGAAAACAATGTCCTGTTCTATGAAATTCTCAAATCTGGGGACTTCTGCTCTGAAGCCACACCTTGTTAAATAACACATGCATGAGAAATTTACTTCCCATCACAGGCTACATGGACCTGGGTTCATTAAAGGGTCAGTGAACTTCAAGTTGAACCCGGTGCATTTCAAAGCAGTCCTTAGGGTTGGCATATTCATCCATCTGTCCATCATCCATCACAGCAGAACTGAAAAAGATGAATAGATGAATAGTAAATGGGGTTTTGCATTCCCTTTCTTAAAAACTGGAGAGTGAGAGGAACTGAAAGTGAGAACAAGAGCCAAGGGGGTGGGACTGGGAAGTCTTAAAACTGGGGAAATGTTTGATGGACATTAGGAAACAATTGTTCATTATTCAAGATGTGCTAATGCTAGTTGTTGTTTTTTTTAAGACTGCTTATCTTTTCGAGATAGTTACCAAATATTTACAGATGAAATTAAATGATTTGCTTCAAAAATCATCTAGGGCAGGTAGGGAAAGAAATAGATTAGGATATAAGAGAAATAAGACTGGGAAGAAGTTGGTTGATAATTGCTGGTGTTGGTTGGAAAGTACATGAGGTTCATTATCCTTGTCTATCAACTTCTGTGTATGTTTGAATTTTTCCATAATAAATGGTTTAAAAATGATCAAGGATTAAAACTCCAGGGAATGTAGCAAACAGGTGGGTGCAGGTCTTCATCCCAAACAAGCCCACAGAGCATAATAATCTGAAACTTAAGGTAAATTGAACTCAGCAAGTGTTCATTTTATTTTAGAATACGAGCTGCATTATTTAATAATGTTGCTTAAATTATTCAGTGCCAGAACAGATTCTAAAAATAAACGTAGAACTCATTAATTTTAAGTAATTCAAAATTAAAACAATAATGTGTTACCATCTTGCATTTTTTTTTAAACCAGCAAATCTAAAGGGGAAAAAAGTAGATAAGACATTACCAGCAAGACATGGGGAAATAGAATATTCATTGCTAGCGTAAGTAGATTCCATCTTTTTTGGGTAACTTTTAACTGATTATAAAACAACATACATTCACAGTGAAATATGATAGTATATAGAAAAGTAAATACTATTTTATTAGACAAGACTCTCAGAAAGCACAACAGATTATATTTCCCTCTAGATTTATGATGCCTGTGAACATATTTTGTTTTACAATAACTATTTTTAAATAATTATGTGTACATAAATTTCTGACATGCTTTCTTTTTTTAACACATCATGAACATTTTTCGTAACTTTTAGTAGTCAATAAAAGTTTTATTTTTAATAGCTACATATCATTTCACCACCTTGTTAACATTCCACTATAGGACATTTAACTAACTGCCAAAAGTTTTGTTATTCGAAAAATGATTTCAATGGCCTATGTACATATATCTATTAATTGCTTTATTTCTCCAGGCTAACTATAGAGAACTGAAATTCTGGAATGAAAAACGTATTAATATTTTTAAAAGTTCTTGAGGCATATTACCAAATTTCTGTCCTGAACATTTGTTCCAGTTTATTCCCAGAAGCAACATGTTAAAGCGGCACTACTCAAACATTAATGTATACATGAATCACCCAGGCACTTGATAAAATGCAAATTCTGATTCAGTAGGTCTGAGGAGGGGCTAGAGATTCTGTATTTCTAACTAGATCCCACATATTACTTGCACTGATGATCAGGACCATGTTTTATTTTATTTTATTTTTAATATTTATTTTTTAGTTGTAGTTGGACACAATACCTTTATTTATTTTTATGTGGTGCTGAGGATCAAACCCAGGGCCTCGCTTGTGCTAGGCAAGCGCGCTACAGCTGAGCCACAACCCCAGCCCCAGGACCGTGTTTTAAATAGAAAAATAATAAAGATCTTTTTTTTTGACATTTTTATTTTCGCTACTACCTCACTAACACAAAGGGTTATTACTCATTTCTTTGTCAATTTGATGAATACCAACATAGGTACATATTTATTTTACTTTCATTTTTTACGTTACTAATGATGATACACATATATTATTGGTCATTATCTAAATTTTATTTGTGTTTATGAAGAACTGGGTCATTTATCTTGTCTATTTTTGTACTGGGTATCATCCTTTTTTTAATTTCTTATTGGTAAACACAGTTAATACATTGGAGTTTTTTAAAGCACTTTATTATTTGTGCTGCAATCATTTTTTTTCCAAGATTGCTATTTGGATCCATATTCATTTTGTTTATGGTTCTTATGACTTATTGAAGTTTTAAATTTTGGTTGTCAATATTCTTATGATTTCTTCCTCTAAATTTATGCCCAAAAGATCTTTCCCTACAAAATCTCAAAAGAATGTTTCTCTATATATTCTTTTTTGCAAAATTATTGAAACTTACCTACTTAATGCATTTTCTTTTTTAATCACAAAAGCAATATGCTTATGTGGAGTATTTAGAAAATACAGATAAGGAAGCCCATTGTTGACATTTTAGTATATATTAATCTAGATATTTTCACATGCAAAAAGGTTTAAATATATATGCACATTATTTATATATTTTATATATATTTATACTTATATATATTTAAAAATAGAATCAATTCAAACTTTCTTTCACTTAATAATATACCATAAGTAAATATTCATCATCCAAGGGCAACAAACACCTTATAGCATCAACCTTTTTATTGCAGGAGGCACCAGAGATTGAACCCAGAGGTGCTTTACCACTGAGCTATATCCCTAACACTTTTTATTTTTTATTTTGAGACAAGGTCTCACTAAGTTGCTTAGGGACCCCTAAGTTGCTGAAGCTGGACTTCTACTTGTGATCCTCCTGCCTCAGCCTTCTGAGCTCTTGGGATTACAGAAGTGCCCAAGTATAGCCTCAAATCTTAATGGCTTTGTAGTACTCCATCATTTGCATGCACCATCATTTATTCAACCAGTTCCCATATTTGTGTATATTTTATAGTTTCCAATTTATGAACATTATAAAAAATGCAGGGATCAACTAGTTACTTATGAATGAATATAACAATGATAGTAAGCCACCACCATTATGTACCATTATGTACCATTATGCACTAATAAAAAAAAATATGGAAAAGACTGGGCACGGTGGTGCACGCCTGAAATCCCAGGGGCTTGGGAGGCTGAGGCAGGAGGATCTCAAGTTCAAAGCCAGCTTCAGCAACTTAGTGAGGCCCTAAGCAACTCAATGAGACCCTATCTCTAAGTAAAATACAAAAGGGGGGGGGCTTGCAATGTGGCTCTGAGGTTGAGTGCCTTTTAATCCCCAGTACACACACACACACACACACACACACACACATGGGAAAAATATTAAGTCCTTACATTGCATAAGCCTTTACTAGGAACTATTCCAAGAGCTTTATAAAATTCAAGCCATTTGCACCTTCACAGAAATATATAAGTCAGGTATTACCATTTCCATGTCATGGATGAAGCACAGAGGATTGCAGAGCTAGCAATAGGTAGGGTAAGTGTTTAGACTGATATTCATATTCTCTCTCTCTCTCTCTCTCTCTCTCTCTCTCCCTCCCACCCTCCCTCAACATACGACTGTCAAACATTCATCATTAAAATTAAGACAAAAATGTTAATGTAGAACTGAAATTCTCAAAGTCTGGTCCAGGGACTTGAAACATCAATATCCCCTGGGAATTTGTTAAAAATGCAAAATCTTAGTCATCACCCAGATTTATTGAACCAGAACTCCAAGGTGGAGTATGTGTTATCACACATCCTCAGTTGCTCAAGTGCATGCTTAAGTTTGAGGAAGAAGATATGGTGAGAAGAGGCCTGACTCAGAAAGCCAGAAGTCCTGTAAATTCAACTGTGCTTAGGGATCATCATGTGAGGGCTCTGTCTACACTAGGCAGCTACAGCTTTGCTCATCTATAAAATGGGAACAGGGACCAAAATGGGGGTGGAAGGGCAGCAGATTAGGTGACTTTTACCATTACATTTAAGATCTACATCTCTATGACTCTCAGGCCATGAACACTTGGTTCAGATGGTCCCCAACTTAAAATAGCTCAACTTATGATTCTTTTACTTTATAATGCTGAGTAAAGAGCACATGCTCAGTATGCATTACACTTAAAATTGTGAACTCTTCTCCCTAGCTAGCAATATGCTGTCTGATCCTTTCTGAAGATGCTGGGTGACAATAGCGACCATACCTCTGAGTCTCCCCTGAAATAATGCAATGAACTGACCCTCTGTCACTAAGCTGAGATGATCCATAGGTTAGGTGCCTTGAATGCATTTTGACTTCTGATGTTTTCAGTTTACCGTGGAATTATTAGGACATCACCCCCATCATAAACTGAGGAGCACCTGTATATATGATAGAGTCAAAAGGAATCATTCAAATTGTGCAAAAGCAATTTATATCAAGGGTGGGAGGGGATATTGAGAAGAAGCAGGGAAAAAAAAGAGGAGTGGACATTATAAAATTCCATGTATGACATTTTAAAACTAATTTAATAATAAAGAGACATTTTAAAAACATTGTCATTAGACAGCACACTAACAGCGTCCTGGTTTCTTTAGGTCTCTGAATTAAGACAACAGCTTCGGATACGGGGCTTGCCGGTGTCAGGCACCAAAACGGCTCTTATGGACCGGCTTCGACCCTTTCAGGACTGTTCCGGCAACTCTGTACCCAACTTCGGCGACATAACGACTGTCACTTTTCCCGTTACACCCAACGCGCTGCCCAATTACCAGTCGTCCCCTTCCACCAGTGCCTTATCCAATGGCTTCTACCGCTTCGGCAGCACCAGCTCCAGCCCGCCAATCTCCCCCGCCTCGTCTGACCTGTCGGTGGCCGGGTCCCTGCCGGACACCTTCACCGACGCCTCTCCGTCCTTTGGTCTGCACCCGTCCCCAGTGCACGTCTGCACGGAGGAAAGTCTCATGAGCAGCCTGAACGGGGGCTCGGGTCCTTCCGAGCTGGACGGGCTGGACTCCGAGAAGGACAAGATGTTGGTGGAGAAGCAGAAGGTGATCAATGAACTGACCTGGAAACTGCAGCAAGAGCAAAGGCAGGTGGAAGAGCTGAGGATGCAGCTTCAGAAGCAGAAAAGCAATAACTGTTCGGAGAAGAAGCCCCTGCCCTTCTTAGCTGCCCCCATCAAGCAGGAAGATGCGGTCTCCAGCTGTCCTTTTGCATCCCAACAAGTGTCTGTGAAAGGACAAAACAGCTCCGAGAGTCAACCCCCCGCTTGCGAAGCGGCTCCACTCCTGCCCCTTGGAAACGCTCACTGTGTGGAGTCCTCAGGTCAAACCAACGTACTTTCTTCCACGTTTCTCAGTCCCCAGTGCTCTCCGCAGCATTCGCCCCTGGGAGCTCTGAAAAGCCCGCAGCACATCAGTCTGCCCCCATCGCCCAACAACCATTACTTCCTACCCTCATCTTCCGGGGCGCAGGGAGAAGGGCACAGGGTCTCCTCACCCATCAGCCAGGTGTGCACCACACAGGTAAGAACACCTTGCCGCATACCCAGTGTATACCTCTTTCAGGAAGTTGGAAGGCAAATTTCCAACTACTAAAGAAACAATCCACAAGCCTCCACAGTAGACCAGGTTCACTTACCCTCTAAGACAGGGCTGGCACACTTGTTATATAACCAGCCAGGTGGAGCGAGGCACCCCTGGCTCAAACCTGCAATGCCAGCGAATTGGGAGACTTGAGGCAGGAGGATAACAAGTTGGAGGTGGGTCTCCACAATTTAGCAAAACCTGTCTCAAAATAAAATATTAGAAAAGACTGGGGATACAACTTAGTGGTAAAGTGCTTCTGAAATCAACCCCTTGTACCTAATTCATTAATTAAAAGAATGTACTAGATGGTAAATATTTGGGGTTTTGCATGTCACAACTACTCAGTTTTGCCCTTTCATCACATAAGCAGCCATAGATATCTTGTAAATGAATGCATACGGCTCCAATAAAATTTTATTTGCAAAACCAGGCAGTAAGCACAATTTAATTTATAGCTATAGTTTGCTGACCACTGCTCTCAGGACTGCTTGGAATCACTCTTATGATAGCCCAGATCATTTCATCAAGCAAGTTGAAGAGGAAGTTACCAGACCCTATTCTTCTTTCCATGTTATAGTCTATATAGTAGAACTATTTACCCAGCACCTAAGATGTGCCATCCTCTATTCTAGCCACTGGAGGTTAATGCTGAACTGGCCAAATAATCTCTAGTCTCATGGGAAGAAGACAATAAGCAAATTTTTTTTAAAGTAAATTATATAATATATCAGAAGATGATACATCTGATAGAGAAAGAGCAGAGAGAGTGTTGTGTTTGTCTGAGAAGTTGGAAACTTTGTAACCTTGAATCAAAGGGCCAGAGACATCTGAGGAAAACCTTGAAAGAGTTAAAGGAGGAAAACATCATGAATATTTTGGGTGATGTCACTGAAGGTAAAAGAGGAATAGAAAGAACATGGGTCCTGAGATAGGAATATGTGTGGAATGTTCAGAAATTAGGAGTTAGAAGAGTTGTAGATTTCAAGGAGTAATTCAAAGACTAGACCGACATGATCAGCAAAGACTTTCATTTTTGTCCACGAAACTGAAGAATGATTGAGAAAGTTTGTATGAGTTTGAGAAAGCAAATTATATTATGAAAATGTTCTGGAATTAGGAAAGGAAGAAACCACTAATGTGATACGTGCCAAGTGCTAAGTATTAAGAGGCATGCATGTAAGTAATTCTTTAGTCATCATTGAGCAAAAGGAAGCTCGGGGGGATTAGACCTATTTCCCAGCATCACATGAACCAGGATTAGTTGATTCTAAAGTTCATGTCCTTTTCACACTTAAATATTGCAATATTGCTACCTTGGTAATATGAGGTGTGGCTAAAGATAATGGCAATACATCGGTACAAGTTTACCAAAACAACACATTCAAATGAGTGATACTCATTCCTGAGGAGTGCTCTGGGGGCTATTGGGTCTACAATGGATTATCATCACTGTTAATAAATATTTATGGAATGCATAATGTCCTAGGCAACAATGGTAAAAAAAAAATAGCTCTGGAGACATAGCTCTGGGCCATAGTTTTCAATTTGGATGATGTTGGTGCTATGAAGAAGAACTAATATTTGTACAGTGATTTATGGTTTACAAAGACTCTTTGAAGATGTTAACAATTTCCTGATAAAAGGGTAACAATATTGATGACTGTGAATATAACATTAAATCCTGCACAAAGTTGGTGGGGGGAGGGGTGGTGAAGATTGGTCATAAAAGATTAGAAAGGTCTAGGAAGTTTTTATGAATGGGTCAGACTTGACCGGAAATGTAGCATTAAAATAGCGAGGGAAGGAAGAAAAGGACATAAAGGATAAAGATAGTGAGGTCGACTGTACTGATGTGTTGTTCCTGTTCTATGTAAGAATTTAAGCTTTCAGAGAAGTAAATAGCACCAGAAGCAAATTGCAAATTGAACACTTATCCACATTAGAGGTGGAGATCCTATGCTGGAATTTGTGAGAGGCACTGGAAATTCATGAGCAATATGTGAAAAGTGCAAAGGTAGAATCTAGGCACAAGTTCGTGTGCAAATGGGATTTAGTAATTCCTGTAAAGAGAATTCTCCAAGGAGTACTGAGCAGGGAGCAGAAGTGTCAGCAAAAGCAATAGGAGAGCACACCTCTGACCTTGAGCTGGTACGTCTTCCTTTCTACAGAACTCAGGGGCACACGATGGCCATCCTCCAAGCTTCTCTCCCCAGCCTTCCAGCCTCCACCCGCCTTTCTCTGGAGCCCAAGCAGATAGCAGTCATGGTGCTGGGAGCAACCCTTGCCCCAAAAGCCCAGGTGTACAGCCAAAGGTAAGTACCTGGGAAAGGTTCAGACCTGAAATGTGTATCACCTCTTCTCTCTTCTGTGCCTCCCTCCCCTGTCCTCCAATGCAAATGATGAGAGGTTCCAAGGCAGAAGAAAATTTCATTTCAGAGAGAAATGGGTCCACTTGAAATGCCTTGAAATGGATGTACAAATATGAGTATCTCCTAGGGGATCATTGCTGGGAGTCATTCCAGAAATCACAGTGATGAAAATGGCATGGTGTGTTTGCAAAGCAGTTTGGGCAACAAACCAGTTTCTGTGAAGCTGAAGACTGAGGGGTATGGGGAAAGAATATTGGAGGAAAGACAAGGTACAGGGATTCATGGAAAGAACCATATCTCTGTGGCAAAAGGCAGAAATGATGAGCATCATCTGGCAGAAGAAACCAGGGGTGTGAAGGATCCAGGATATGGGGTGTTCCAAGGTGCAATCAGGCAGCAAGAGGGAAACAAAAATAAGCTAGTCATGACACAAAAGAGCCACGTGCCACAGATCAGAGAAGGGAGGGGGACCCTGACACGGGCCAGGTACCCCACAGGAGAACATACTTACAATAAACAAAGCTGGTTCAGAGACCCCAGCAATGCCTTAATGGAGCAAATGCACACTTGGAATGAAATGACCTGGGGAACAAATTACTCTGGAAATTCCTAGGTTGGTGAATTCCTTTGTATTGGATTAGACTCTGATTTCCTTTTTTTGTTTGTTTGCTTGTTGGTTTGTTTGTTTTGTTTTTTCTTGTTTTGTCCTAAGAGAAAGCGTGTACTTTAGAGGGGCAAATAAAGATTTAGGGTTTCCACTTTATAATGCTACCAGCAATAAATTCCCAGGAATATATACTATTGTTGATAAATTAGAATTAGTTATTATTATGTAATCTCTGGCTAGTTATTGTTGTGGTTGTTGTTGTCTTAGATTTATTTTTTTTTAATTTTTTGGGGGGGGGCATGCTGGGGATTGAACTCAGAACCTCACACATGCTAGGCAAATGCTTTTACCACTGAGCCACATCCCCAGCCCTATTTTTATTTTTATTATTTTAAGTAGTTTGTAGATTCTAGAACAGAAACAGTACCACTTCTCATCCATGTATTGAATGCCTTTCTCTGTATTTTGGGACACACAGATGGCTGGTTTACACCCTTCTGATAAGGCGGGGCCCAAGTTTTCGATCGCATCCCCAACTTTTCCTAAGTCCAGTTCCACGGTTTCCGAGATAACACAGCCTCCTTCCTATGAAGATGCGGTCAAGCAGGTAATCACATGGTTTGTCTCTTATGGAAGGTCAGAGGGACTCAATGGCCCTTTGTCGTGTATTGTTAAAGTTGACGCGGTCTGTAAATTCTGACGTGGAATGTGCTGAGGGCCTCCCCAACAGGATGAACAAAATACACACTAAGAGTAGATGATGGTATTATATGCATGTACAGATGGTTCCAATTCAGGATGGTTCAACTTAAGATGTTTCGACTTGATGATGGTATATGAAGCAATACACTGTCCACTGCACTCAAAACTGTACTTTGAGTTTGGATCCTGTCCCGGGCTAATGATGTGATACAATCTTCTCTTGAGGCTGGGCAGCAGCAGCGAGCCTCAGTTCTTAGTAAGCCCCATAGTTATGATGGAAAGCAACTCATCCTCCAGCGTGCTGTGTTGCTAAGCCAATAGGCCTGGCAGGTTAAGTGCATTAAATGCATTTTTGACTCATGGTATTGTCGGTTGACAGTGGGCTTATCTGGATGTCATCCCATTATAAGTCAAGGAGCAGCCTTAGAAGCTGAGAGAGGCAGAAAGAAGAGGCTGGGCTGGCATCCAGGATTCCTGGCCTCAGCGCCAACTCTGCCACCTGCCACTACCACGAAGGATGGGCACATACTCAACTTCTATAAAGAGGGCCCATATTTATTTTGTAAGGATTCTACATAATCTGACACTTACCATATTGTTTGGGCACATGATAGGTTCTCAAGACGTGAGAACAGTTGTCAAGGCAATACTTTCTAAGATTCTTCCGAGCTTTAAAATCCAACAGTCCGGGCAAAATATTGATGGTTGTTAAAGCTGAATGATGAATGTAGGGAGGTCCCTTGTGTTCTCTACTTTCATTGGTGTTAGGAACGTTTCAAAAGTAAGAAAAAGAAAAACAGGCCTCGTGTGGTGATGTATGCCTGTAATCCCAGTGGCTGGGGAGGCTGAGGCAGGAGGATCACCATTTCAAAGCCAGTGGCAGCAATTTTGCAAGGCTCTCAGCAACTTAGGGAGACCCTGTCTCAAAATAAAATATAAAAAATGACGGGGGGATGTGAATCAGTGGTTCAGTGCCCCTGGTTTCAATCCCTGGTACGAAACAAAACAAATAAGCAAAAAGTTTTAAAAAAAGAAAAGAAAAACATATAGTCAGCCCTCTATGTCATGGATTCAGTCAGCTGTGGATTAAACATGCTTTGGGAAAAAAAAATTTCTGAAAGTTCAAAAAAAAAAAAAAAACAATCTCGAATTGGCCACATTCCAAGCACTATATAGACTCCAAGTAAATCAAGTGATATATACCTTGCGCTAGCCACTTCATAGATCCTGCATCTCTTTCCAACACTTGTTTGAGCATCATCCACCTCACGTCCCATTCACATGTAACCTTAGGCCTGTGATGCCTGCATCTGTAAAGATATGTACAGACTTGTGCACGACTCCCTAAACAACTATTTACATGGTATTTACATGTATCAGGTAATATAAGTAATTTAAAGATGATTTCAAGTTTACAGGAGGAATGTAGGTTCTATACAAATACTACATGATTTTATACAAGGGACTTGAGTGTCTGGGGATTGGGGTATCCAGTAAAGGTCCTGAGCCAATCCCCTAAGGAAATTGAGGGTCTGAGCGTGGAGGTGCTTAGTCCAGAAAAGAACCTGGCCTTGGTTACTGCCCACTGACTGGTATCCCAGAGCAAGACCAGTTGTCTGTAAGTTTCCTCTGGGAGAGATGTGCTATAGATCAGGAAGGCTTTCTCACAGTTCTGAAAAACTAGGGGATCTGCCAACATGGGATCCACTTTGCTGCCAAACAACAATGACCTAAAGCAAAGTACCCCGTGTTTCTCTGAGCCACAGCTGTGCTCTGTATTCTTCCTCTCTTTCTTCTATTTTTGGCTCGTTTACATTACCTGCCAGAACTTGTAGCATGTGGTGCCATCCAGACTAGCAAATGACTCAGTCTTGGAGCAGTGTTCCCATCTGTATTGATTATTGATGCCCATGTATATTGGCTTTGAACTCCCAGGGGAGAGAGGGATGCTTTGCTGCCCTTGCTATATCTCCACTTCATTCCCCTGAATTTTGAAACATGAGCTGATCCTTCACGATTTCGATAGAAAAGCAAAAGGTCAGGCAGGGTGGACTTTTAAGATTGCACTTAACAACTCAGATGAGCAGAGGGGAGAAGGTGAACTCTACAAGGCTCTACCAGTTCCTCAAGCTTTTGCAAAGAGGAACTGAGGAAATGTGGGCCAGGTTCCACGCAGGTCAAATAAGAGAGAGATTCTCACTTCAGAATGAGAAAAGGTATTTTTTTTCTGTATTTAAGATGACCCTGCTCCTAGGATGGAAATGGCGAAAACAACCAAACTTATTCTAAAGTGCATATTCTGTGTTGGAAGTCATTCTGCCTGTTTTCTCCTTGTCTTATTGTAGTGGCTTATTTCATCCTGTAGATCACCTGCCTAAAATTTACACTGAGAGTTAATCGAACAGTTCAAAAACCTTTCACCACTCTACCCAAGATTATAACAGTATTATACACATTAGCCAGAAGGTGGAAACAATCACAGGTGTTCATCTAAACAGGTGAATGAATAAACAAAATGTATTAGATTCAAATAATGGACTATTATTCAGTCTTCAAAAATTAAAAGAGCCAGGTGCCATGGCACACACCTGTAATCTCAGTGACTCAGGAGATGAAGGCAGGAGGATCACAAGTTCAAAGCCAGCCTCAGCAACTTAGCAAGGCCCTGAGCAACTTAGTGAGACCCTGTCTTAAAATAAAAAATAAAAAGGCCAGGGATGTGGCTCATTGGTTTAATATCCCTGGATTTAATGCCCTATACCAAGAATAAAAATTTTTAAATGAAAGGAAATTCTAACACATGCCCCAACATAGATGAGGCTTGGCTCAGTAGTTAAATATCCCTAAGTTCAATGCCATATACCAGGAATAAAAATTTTTAAATGAAAGGAAATTCTAACACATGCCCCAACATAGATGAGGCTTGAGGACTGTATGCTTAGTGAAATAAGCCAGTCACAAAAGAAGAAATACAATACGATTTCACTTCTATAAGGAATCTAGAATAGTCAAATTCATGGAGTAAGAAGGTAGAATGGTTGGTTGCTAGGTATTAGGGGAGGGGCAGGCTGGGAAGTTATTCCTTAATAAGTACAGAGTTTTAGATTTGTAAGATAAAGAGTTCTAGAGATGAATGATGGTGATGGTTGCCCCCCCCCAAAAAAAATATACTTAATGTCATTGAATGGTACACTTAAAATGTTCTAGGTTATAAATTATATATTATTTGTATTTTGTTACTATTTTAAAAAAATACTTAGCCAAATTTAGTTTGAAAACCTATAGTGCCACCCCTTTCTGCATAAGTAAACGCCTTCTAATTGCCCCGTTCTCCTTTGGTTAATTTGCAACAGCAAATGACTCGGAGTCAGCAGATGGATGAACTCCTGGATGTCCTCATTGAGAGTGGAGGTAAGACTGCCTTGTGTCCTGTCCATCAAGGTCCTCTGCACCTATGTTAAACTCTAGAGAAAGAATGCCCAGGACCAAGGTCAAGTGCACACTGAATCAGGTGCACCAGGTGGGCTGCAGGTAGAGAGTCATTTCCTCTGAGCTTTGGGTGCCCTTTTGGAGCAGATAAAAGAAGTTTAGCGGATGATTCCTCTCTGCCTTCATCCGAGGAACACTTTGCAGTCATCGTTTTAAGTTTTCACTTTTCAACCCCATCTTTGTTTTCCCTAAATGTTTTCTCTTGCTGTATAATTTCTTTCTACAGTCCTGATCTCAATGTCCCTGTCTTCTTAATGATAAGAGAAAAAGAACCAAGCAGATAATGAAAGTTTTGTGCTACCTACTCAAAGTGAAATTCAATTAGTAATCTTCCCCTGGATGGTCCATTCATGCTTAAATGTTATTCAGGTTAACAATAAAAAATAATCATCCTGTTCTTTTTGCCTCCTTTCAACTCGTTCATTTATTGATTTAAAAACATTATGAAGTACGCACCTAGCATTTAAAAGCACAAAAAAATGAATAGGAGGACCAAAAGAGATTATGTGTAGGTGTAAAGAGAAGTTCAGAGCTGAACCCTGAAGCAATTGCATGAAAGTTTGAGAGTACGCAGAGAAGGAGTAGCTAGGCACCATGCTAAGGGTCAGTTGTACACTAGACAAAGTCTCTTCCTCTATGGGGTGGATAGCAAGTGAACAGATATTTCCTATTGGAACAAGAAAGAAGATGAGAGAGATGTGCATGTGCTGGTGTGTATATGCATGTAAGTCTTATGAGGGAAAGATGAGAGAGAGTTCATATCAGAAGCCCCCCTCCCTTTTTGTGATCAGTACATTTTTTTTTTTTTTTGTAGTGCTGGGGATGGAACCTAGGATGTCACCATGCTAGGCAAACACTTTACCATCGAGCCATACCTCCAGCCCTCAGATGCCCCTTTTTTAAATGAAGTAGGTGGAAAGGTCACCCATGAATGTGGGTGCAGAAGGAGTCGTATGGGACAGGCAAGGAATGAACAGTCTCCAGTTAATCATGAATGAGTTGGGTTTACTAGAGAAACATGGGCAGAGTGTTAGGCCATGTAAATGCTAATGGTGGGCTTAAGACTGTGAATTCAAAATAAAACTAATTGGCTTAGTTGTGTAATTTTTTTTTTTCTATTCAAACATCCAGGCAATTCAGGGAAAGCCAATGGTAAGGCTAATCCAGTCTTAACATTGATATGCTAGGTTAGTATGGTAAAAAGTCAGAAGAGAGGAGGTTGAGGGTATTGGACCAAGGTAACTATCATGATGGATCAGATAACATGGAGGGTATGATGCATGGAGGGTACGATGCATGGAGGGTTGATGGACAGTGATTAAATGGTGGTCAGCAGATTGGAGTCACTCAACACAATTTTTGTCCTGGGGTACTTAATAAGTGAGCAGAAGAGTTGAGGCAGGAGGGACAGAGAGTGGGAAATTTTGCTTGAAATAGAACTTTCAGAGGGATGCATTGTTTGGAGGCGGGAGCAAGATCCAAGGTGTGTGTAACGGTTGGGGGACACAGGCATCACTGAGGGGACAGACAAGGAACTGAGAGACTAGGATGGACAGATGCTGCAGTGACAGAGAACGAGAGACGCAGAAGTGGCACAAAGGCTGGGGATCAGGGTTTAGAGGCATCAAAGCAGATGAAGAGGGGTGGTCAAGAGGCTGGGCCTGTGGAGAGGGGTGGACCCCTCAAAACTACTGAAGAATGAGGGGAATAATGATCAGAGAAGTAGCCATCACCTATCACATCGTATGCCACGCTGAATAACAATTTGCATTGTGTTTTGCCAACAGAAATGCCAGCTGATGCCAGAGAGGATCACTCATGTCTTCAAAAAGTCCCAAAGATACCGGGGCCTTCCCGAAGTCCTGCTGTGGTCCTCCCCAAGCCCTCGGCCTCCTGTGAACCAGCCTCTTCAGGAGGACAGCTCTCCTTTGATCACTATGCTGCCGACAGCGAGGAGCACCTGGAAGTCTTATTAAATCCCCACAGCCCCTTAGGAAAGATGAGCGACGTCGCCCTTCTCAAAATCGGGAACGAGGAACCTGCTTTCGATGGGATCATGGATGGCTTCTCCGGAAAGGCTGCAGAAGACCTCTTCAATGCACATGAGATCTTGCCCGGCCCCCTCTCCCCGATGCAAACACAGTTTTCACCCTCTTCTGTGGACAGCAGTGGGCTGCAGTTAAGCTTCACAGAATCTCCGTGGGAAACCATGGAGTGGCTGGACCTCACTCCACCCAGCTCCACACCTGGCTTTAGCTCCCTTGCCACCAGCGGCCCCAGCATCTTCAACATTGATTTCCTGGATGTCACAGATCTCAATTTGAATTCTCCCATGGACCTTCACTTACAGCAGTGGTAGAATGCCAACGCTCAGAAAGACCAGTAGGAATTCCATGGGGGATATCTATCACAAAACCCTTAAGTACTTCCCTTATCTAGAAGAAGAAGAAGAAGAAGAAGAAAATCCAAAAGAAGCAATGGAAGCTTCTGTGACAATAAGAATAAGCAGGAGTCATTTTTTAAAAATATATATGTTATATTTACTAACATTCAGTAACTGTTTAATAATTTCAGCAATGCATTCAGAAATGTGCATTTTCAGAGTACAGATGCAAAAAAAAATTTTTTTCACTGCCTTTTTGAATACCAATATTTTTTCTAGCCCATAGTTTTTCTCAGGCATTATTGGAGCAGAAGCTCATACTGTGAGCTTTTGTCATGAATTTATTAGAATTACTATTAAAAAAAAGTATTTGGAGAGCATGAGGAAGCCAGCCCTTAAAAGATTATGGAAGATATATGGATGGTGGAGGCTGCTTCTAACGTCTCCATTGTCTGTCTTTCAAAAGAGCAACAAGGTCCAACTTCAGTTAGGGAGTCCTTGAGGCAATAGAAGGACAGAACCAATTCATTCCTAGGAAAGCAAAATCAACATAATGTCCTTCCACCCTAAAACTGTCCCCACTGGAGTGGTTCCAATCCTGGACTGTGTGGTCACTGATAACAACTAACTTGCACTGAGTCCAGAGAATTCCATTTAGACCTGTTTTTTTTTTTTTTTTTCTTTTTCTTTTTCTGCCAGTAACCCAGTCATTCCATCTGGGTGCTGATAAGCATTGTGTAATAGGTGAGAACTTTAAAGCAAGAAGACCATGGAAGAAGATTTCTCAGATTCTCCTACATAAACCCCTTTAGTTCCAAAAGCTAGAGATAGGCAGGCAGAAAGGTATCTCTAGACCCAGGAAGCCATTATCAGGGATAATTTAGACAGAAAACAGCATTCTTCACACCTCCTAGGAATGCATACCATGGATTGCTATTACAGGACTGTTCTCATAGAGGTCCAACTTGTTGTTATTGTTGTTATGTTGCTCTTGTTCTGGTTCTTATGATGGGAAAGGGGGTCCACCTCAGTTTATCTTTCTCCCACTCCATTTATCTTTCAAGATATCAGCCCTTTCTTACTCCTCTTTTTGAAGATCTCTTTTTTTTTTTTTTTTGGCCCAATATTGGGAGGAGAGGATGTCTCCGCTCTCACAAGCTCCACACTCCTAATAAAGCCATGTTTTAAAAGGTTAAAAGTCCAGGTTCTCCTGTAGAACCCATTCTCTTGCACAGCTTGCTGCCAAAGGAAGTGCCAAGAATTTCCTTAGGAAGAAACTGGTGACTTGGCCCATCGGTCACAAAGCTCACTCTTACTCTCATGTGATTTGCAAGCAATCTTAGATTTGTGATGCTCTGGGAAAATTGGAAATCATTATATTGTAAAGATAAGTATGGATGATATTTACAGGAGAGAGTGTTTCAGTTCTGGGTTTCTGAAAGAAAGCACAATTGCATATTGAAAGCAATGGAAGGAACAAAAGACCATGGTCGATAATGAGCATTCCTCATTACCTCTTGTGCTTTGGAAGGCAGCTGGGAAAAAAACAAAAAAGAAAGAAAGAAAGAAAAATAAAAATAAAAAACTCGATTTGCAGGACAGTCTCTCTAAGGCTCACAGTGGCTCCAGTTCACCATTTTATAATGTTGCATGCTGTAGAAAGTAGCTATTGCTGTTTTATTTTTTTTTTTTTAATTTAAGTCACTAAGTCACTGTTTTCTTCTTTTGTAAAAAAAAATGTTGTTCACTGTGCACTTATAGAGAACATAATCAATGTTGTGATGTTAAAAAGTTCTCATTTTGGTTTCTTCTAAACCAAAGATTTAGAAGTCATTCCATTGTTAACTTGTAAAAACTGTGTGAACACAGAGTGTTTTGGGTGACTGCTACTCTGAAAGCTGCCAGATCTTATTTGGGGTGGAGGATACACACACACACATAACACACACATCTTGCTCTATACATTTGTAGGCTGAGACTGTTATATGTGTGTGCACATGCACACACATATATATGCATACACGTGTGTGTGTGTGTGTGCATGTATCTTGAAAGCGGTGTTACAGAGTTCCATACCAGAAGCCTTTAACCCTCAATCTGCTGTGAATGATACCTGGCCTTTCTCACTACGTGTTCCTGTTAATTAACCAGACTACACGTTGCCGCTCTGTGTATGACTAAGGGCTCCAGCCCAGTGACTCACAGCCACTTGCTGACCATGAACAAGCTCCTCTTGCCAACGAATATGGATGTGAAAAGACAGAACGGCTTTGCTAATAGCAGCTGCGGATGGTAACAGTCTTTTGTAGAAGAGTCCATAAAAAGAACATGAAAATCATCTTACATTCCTTGATCTGCATTGTGCTTGAGAAGATCTGCATGGTAAATTTTATTAGTTTGCTTGTATGTCAGTTATCAGAACAACAACAAAAAATCTAGAGGGAAAAAATCCCGATGAAGATGAAGCTATGAGAAAGAGACCTTATTGACACATTCCACACATTGGTTTATTCCTCAGATGATGATGTTTTATTTGAGTCTTGACAAAGCTTGCTGCTCGGTCCACTTTTTTATGTTATTTCCCCCCTTTCTTTCCTTTTGGAAAACAAACTCACATGGTATCCCGACTTGAAGACCTGGTCTGAGTGTTAATGGTTCTTTTTCTTTGGGAATTTCTAGCTGAGGGATGAGATCTGATTAGGAGACCTCTGTACTTGGCTAGACTGTGCCTTTACGTTGGGTTGTGTTTTTGCATATTCCTCAAGACTGAAATACAAGATTCACGGTAGACAATAGATAAAATGGCTCCTATTTGCTACCACAAACTAACACAGTTAAAAGAGCAGATCCCTAGATAACTGGTCTCAACCGCCTCCCACAGTCTGCACATGCCATATTCACCCTGTGTCAGGGAATTGGAGGGAGAAAACTGGAGATGCTTGAGTGAGAAATGATGAAGATGGCTGCATCCAATCAGATAATTTATGTTAATCCATCTGTCTCTTGTTGGGGATTTTAAATTCTTGGGTGTGTCCTCTTTTGTGGTGGCAAATTGGGCATGACTAAAAAAAGGTATACAGAGAAGTGACCACATTCTTGTGTCTTAATGCTTTTAAAGGTGAAGATGACCATGTGAATTTAAGAGTCCTGGACCTACCATGGTGATGCAGAGATGCAGACCTTTGTAGCCATTCCCAATCTGGTCACAATCCACTTGATTCGTACTTACCTAATGGAATCAGAAAATGTATTTATGCAAGCTCTCTCAGTAAGCCTATTCTCATTTAGGAATGACACTGCCTCTTAAAATGATACGGAGAGGGAAAGAGACGGAGGGGGAGAGGAAGAGGAGAAAGAAGAGAATGAACAGGGGAGGGAAGAAGGAAGGAGAAAGGAAGGAGGAAAGAAGGAAAAAATAAAGGGAGAAGTAAAAAAAAAAAGGAAGGAGGGAAGAAAAAAGAGCCCAACTTACTGATCCATGAACCTCTTATTTCAGCTAAGATATTGCATTATGAAAACTGCATCGCAAACTCATAAATGAGAAACCATTTTTAACAACCCAGTGATTGCACCTGTACTGGTGGAAAGCAAGACAGCCTTCACCTGAATTGTCAAAGGTCTGTAAAGTGAGAGTCTTACACCATTCAAAAACAGTGATTTCCAATCTGAGAAAAAAAAAAAAAGAATAACACCTAGCCAAGCATTCAAGATAGTTCTTTTAAAAAATTATTTATTATAACTTCAATCTTCTAGAGCAGTCTGACTGAAAACTCCCACATCAAATTTACTCATCCATTGGATAATTATTTAATGCCTACTGAATGCAAAGCATGAGGTATCCAATACTGGACTGATTCAGCACAGTTTGTTCAAACGTTGAATGAGTAAGGAGTTGCCTTTGCTATAAGCAAGGACACTGGGAATCTCCCAATCCTCAAACTAGAAACCTTTCAGCTAGGATGAAAAGGGTTTTCATTTTGTGAGATAACTTGGTGAGACAACTTGGAGTAGAAAGAGTCTAGGGTCTTAGTTTCCCCATAAATCGAATTATAAACCAGTGGGGCGGCTCAGATGCTGATATTGCTGATGCTTTATTAGATGTTATTAACAGAGTCCAGGTGCTGGGACAAGATAGTCCTATAGCACTGAGTTGGTTGGTTGTAATTCAATGGCCCTGGCTAGGCTGAGACTGTCTGGGGGGCGGGGGTGGCAATTTCAAGCCAGGGAGGGGTTTGTAAAAACTTTTGTTGTTATCAGCCAGGGGTACTGTGCTAAGATTCATTGGATCCAACAATATGTGAGTAAGTTCCCTTCCGGTTATAGGATTCAGTGATAATCCCTGTGGATTAAGGCAAACAAACCCCTAGAATTCTCTTGTGTTTATTTTAACCACATGCTCCCTTCATGGATACTGGGAAGATGTGTTTTCTATAGGCGACTGAACTGTTCCCAGGTATTTATGGAAAGTGGGTATAGATATGGGGATCCTAGAAGCTATTTAAATGTTTTCCAAAGGAACAAGACCCACACTGCTCCCCAGAGCTCAGTTCCAATGGTCTTGCGGTGAGGAACTACAGCTGGGTCTTAAAATTCTCCCTCAATGAAACACAAGGAGGCACTTTGTAAAGAACAAAGGAGCAAGCATGTGTTGTCTGCAAACCCCTGTGTGGTGGTGTATTCAGAAAGAAATGTGGATTACTGGGAAGAGCAAAGAAGCAATGGCTAAAGTACCAAAGTTGGCATGTGTTCTTTTTTTAAAAAAAGAAAAAAAATAAAAGCATATATTTTTAAATAAAATGTTTATTTTAAAGAGATGTCAACCTTTTTTTTTTCTTGACCCTGGAACTGTGCTATGCTCTTTACAAGCATCATTTCCTTTTATCCTCACAACAGCCTGATGAAGTGGTACCATTATTATTCTCATTTTGCAAATGAAAAAAAAAAAAACTGAGGCTCAGAGAGGCTAAGCAAATTGTGTAAGGCTACATAATTTAAAACATGGCGGAGACAACAGTCAGATTTTTTATTTGCCCTCCTCCAAAGCCCGGATATTAAGCACTGCACACCATGCCTGCACTTATTGCATGATTGCATTTCACAGAAGCAAAGACAATGTGAATCTCCCAATCCTCAAACTAGAAACCTTTTAGCTATGGATAAAAAGGGTCTTCATTTTTCCAGAAGGGAAAGAAAGCCTTTTAGGTTAAAAGCTATCTTCCATGCAAAGTTTCTTATCTTTTTCTCCATGGTCCAAGGGCAGTAGTCTATCACTTGGAGGTCTGTATCTCCTGTAA